TTTTTGAAAATAGGGTAAAATCGAATGCCACGCCTATAAAAATTGTATAAAACTATTCAGGAGACGTACAAGGGGAGATGAATGCATATTTTTATAACCTGCTTGGTAGGTGTCCTAAGAGACTTTTCATTAGGAAAGGCATCATTTTTCGTTGCTGAATCTGTCACAGAACGCATTCGTTTGTTTCCTTAATAATTTAAAAACGAACATTTATCAAAGTAGGACATTTTGAAATTTGATTTTTGCAATTACGATGAAATAGAATACGTTTGGTTTTAAGTTATGAGGCATTGTTCCTATTTTTAGGTTAGGACTTCAACTTTGTCGACTTTTCATAAACTTTATGGGAATTGATCAGTCATATGATTTTGCATGCATAGATACAAATAAAATAAAATAGAAAAGAGACATAAGAAATAAACGCAATTTTAAATTTGCGATAGTTTATTTAATTTACGGACTAAGATGGACTAAGCCAATAGATTTGTGGCTTGTATGTCCAGATAATAAACCATGCATTATTTGTAAAAAGTGAAAAGTAAGCAAAAAAGACTATTTATTTTAGGTTTAAAATGGTTTTATCAAATTGGTTTATTGGATAGTAAGATATGGTAATTGCTGATTTATAGATCAATCAATACACAAAAATATATATGTATATATCTAGTTAATCCACTTTATCACTAATCAATAAACAAGCTTGTTTATATTAATTGCCTTATTGTTACTTTTCGCGAAGTTGTTGTTTATAGTTACATTGATTTCTTAATTTTGGTTCTGAAACCATACGATTTTGCTTACATATAAACAATACGATGTTGCGGCTGCCTATTGTGTTCAAACCGAAAACGAAAATGATGCCTCATTGTGTCAGAGCCCATTGATTCGCAAATACCCCCGACATCTCACAAAAAGTCGGCAAAGTTTAAGACTCATCCCGAAAATAGGATTCACATATAATTGTGATTAAGCCCGCTCCCTAAAAAGCTGAAAATGCAAGAAATGACATAGGTAAATAAATAGTGAGAGAACGTTTTTTCTACTTTTTCAGTTTGTTATCTACAATTCAAATGAATAAACGCGTAGTCAATTGAGTAAAGAAGTTAAATATTAAACTGCCGCCCTAGTAAAATTTCTGTGTTATACGTGTTCATATAATATTAGTTTATCGAATAGTTTAACGAAAATTGAAGTAAATACACAACTATTATAATCACTCGTCTTGTTAGCAAGCTTTTCAATTGATTCTGTTAATTTAAATTATCTAATCTTAATAGGTTTCGCTAATTTGTTTCCATTATTTTTTCACTATAGTGATTTTCATGGAAGTATTTTAAATAGCAACACTATACATCTTGTTTTTACTCAGCTGTTTCTTGCTATTCATTTATTGATATGTCAATAGCTTTTGAAAAAGTGGAGTAATTAAAAAAAACGTCAGATTGAAAGATATATAAAATCGGCTGTTTTGGATAAAAAAAACCAACATAAAATTTGCTCTGGGTAGTTCTTGTGCAGAGAGAAAGAGAGTAAAAAACTTTTAATAAGCTTATCTATCTTGAAAGTACGTTTTTCACGTGATGTTGTGCGATTCTTAATAATAAACGGAAACAACGCACTCTTAATTCGATTTTACTATATTGAAACACTGGACTTTACTAATTGCAAACTATGGAAAAGCGAGTTACTAACTAAAGGTACATCTGCTGCTTAGTGTGAAAGGAAAATCTAACAAATGTGAAAATTAAATATTTCAAGTTGTTTATTCAACGCAAATCTTCGTAACATACATTTGCTTTTTTATAAGTAAATACTATATGGATTATAATCTTAACAATAAGTGATTAGTTGAGATTTGTTGTAACGCTATAAATTGCTGTCGACTATTGGTACATAGTTTGTTGTGCTGCATAGCATATTAGTGAATTGCAATTGTAATGCGTAAGACGCGTTCACAGACTCAAGCAGAAAACGCGTTACTTGCGAGTTCGCGTTCGGGAGCTGCATCCTTAACTAGCAATCAAGTAAAACAACAGCATATGAACAGCAACAATACGCAGAAACGCAGTCAATCAGCAGCCGTAGCACCCAATTTTGTGGATCCAAACGCATATAAGGTAGGTTCTGCCGGTTAATCTGCAAAAAATACGTAGGATTGAATTTTTAAATTAATATATAGAATGGGGCGAATATATTTTCTAAATAAATTTATCATGCATGCTTATATTTTACACTCTTGTTTATAAATGTAGGAAATTGCTTTCTTTGATATTTCCCACTATATTTTAAAAGCCCTTTATCATATGTTTCTTATGCGTATAGAGTCGCGTCTTCTTGCTTTGTAGTCGATTACAAATTCTCAAGTTTCGTTCAAACTGGCAACACTGCTGCCATATTCTTCGGTAATAGAATTTTACTTTCCCTAATTGTGCGAAGCAAAGAGTTCAGAAAGAGAATAGAATGGAAAAAAGAAGCTAATGTTGATAGTTGATATATTAAAATACAAACCATATAAATCATTAATTTAAATTTGTTCCGCGTCTTATAAAACCGTATACACCAATTTTTTTTACAAAAAATGCAAAGTAACTAAGTCAAGCCTGAACATTGAGAAGCAGTATAACGAAAAGAAAAAGTGCGTAAAGTAAAGACGTCAAGTGTGACTTTTTTTCTACATAAATCATGGGGGAAATTAACTGAGCCATTTTTTTGAAGGTAATATTATAATGTTGTCTTAAGAAAATTCCTAAACCTTAAAGGAGTATTTTCTTTTCCTATAGGTTGGAAAAGGGGCTTATTCCTCGGTATAATGCAAATGCAAAGTTAAAGTCATTTAAGTTCGGATGTTGCCAAGTTACATATTTTTTTCATCGTATAATTGGTTTTTAAATTTTGCTTTTGTGTTTTCAATTGTTTTTGCGTTGTGTTTTAGATTTGTTGGTGTGCAGTGAAGTTTTATGTTACCGTTTCAGTATGCGTGAATACCTTTGTCCATATGTGTATGTGTGTATGTGTGTAAAATGATAAATTTATGTATTTGAGCAATACATAAAGTAATTAGTACATGTTTGGCTTTTTATATGGGTGAATGATATGTTCGTGTTTGTTGTTCACTATGGCGAATGTTTTTGATCTATAGCTGTGATACCATGTGGTGTGCGTGGTATGGAGTGCATATTTATTTATCAGATATGAATTCGCTAACTTTCGGAATATTTAATTACCTCCTTCAATAATTACAATGACCAAAAAAGTTTTCTGAAATCAAGTGAAGATCCTGGACTTTGATTTTGCATTACTTTGATTTTATAGGAATGTGAGGACATGCTAAATATCTTGCGTGTGGTCGAGTTACAAAAGATACTTTCCTTTATGAATATATCCTTTGCTGGACGTAAAATTGATTATCAACGCCGTATTTTAACTTTGTTACGTACAAATTTTGATTTGATTTCCCATAAAATAAGAGAAGTTTACGCGCAATCCTTGTAAGTGTACATAATTGATATATGCCCGTTATATTAATAAGACGTTCGTCCTTGGGTTTAGAGTTGAACAACAACAAGCCACTCTGTACGGTCCTCCAGATCCGAAAAGAATGTATTCACAAATGCAAATGCAGCCGAATCCCGGCAATTTAGTCTCCGCTGCAGCAGCTAATGCTCAAATGCCTGGAGGCGCACAGCAAATATTAAATCCAGCTGCAGCTGCCGGTATGCCGCCGACCGTTCCACCCGGTAATAATGTGGTGCCATTTATGCATGCTATACCCACGCAAATGCCCATTCATCCGGATGTACGTTTAAAAAAGCTGGCTTTTTACGACGTGTTAGGTACATTGATTAAACCCTCATCGCTGGTACCTCGTAATGCCCAACGCATGCAAGAGGTGCCATTTTACTTTACATTGACACCGCAACAGGCTACAGAGATTGCTTCAAATCGTGACATTCGTAACAGTTCAAAAGTTGAACATGCTATCCAAGTGCAATTGCGTTTCTGTTTGCTGGAGACATCTTGTGACCAAGATGATTGCTTTCCACCTAGTGTGGCCGTTAAGGTGAATAACAAAATGTGTCAGCTACCGGTAAGTTTTCTCTGTTTCTTCTTTTAATATAGAGAAAACAAGCTTTAAAAATCTTTCATGTGTTATCAGAATGCATTACCACAAACGCGTCCAAATATGGAACCCAAAAGGCCCCCACGTCCTATAAATGTAACCTCAAATGTTAAACTATCGCCAACAGTAACAAATACCATTACTGTACAATGGTCGCCGGATTATACTCGCGGATATTGCATCGCTGTTTATCTTGTTAAGAAATTAACATCTGCCCAACTATTGACACGACTGAAAACTAAAGGTGTAAAGCCAGCGGACTATACTAGAGCTCTAAGTAAATTATTATTTGACATACATTTTATAATGGAATTAGCGGTTATAAACTCTATATAATTTTAGTTAAAGAAAAATTGCGCGAAGATGCTGATTGTGAGATTGCTACGACAATGCTGAAGGTCTCTTTAAATTGTCCTTTGGGAAAAATGAAGATGTCCATACCATGCCGGGCGTCAACTTGTTCTCATTTGCAATGTTTCGATGCCAACTTGTATTTGCAAATGAATGAACGCAAGCCTACGTGGAATTGTCCTGTTTGTGATAAGCCTGCAGCTTTCGACAATCTTGTAATTGACGGGTAATGTGTCCTGAAAAGTAAATAAATGCTTTACTTAGCTCGATTATTTATGCTGTTACAGTTATTTTCAAGAGGTTTTAGCTTCAAATCTATTGAAATCTGATGATACCGAAATTCAATTGCACAAAGATGGTTCATGGAGTACACATAGCTTAAGAGCAGATTCGCAAATCTTAGATACACCCACTAAGCCGGTGGAAAAAGTGGAAGTAATTTCAGACGATATAGGTGACGTACTGGCAGAGAAAGAAAGAAAAAGACATTCCTGAAAACTTTCTCTTTGCAGAACTCATTACCACAGAAGATGTTAAGCCAATTAAAGCCGCTGCTGTTTCGGTTACAGTTACTTCGAACGAGTTACCTTCCTCCACCACAAATAGCGAAACAGTAAGTTTATTGTTGCTACTTTTAAATCGACTACTGAACAATGGTCCCAGCCCGAGAGAGGATAAAGGTGTTAGAAATTACAATAAGTTGAAGAAATTGAAAGAATCTAAATCAAAATTAGTATTTTGTATTCCGACTTACCGTTAATTAGAGCTGTGCAGGCTTATTCTGCATCCAGATTTGAGACATATTTTTTTACATTTAACTGGCATTATGGGACCGGGTATTTGACTTTCATTTAAAATCGAATATATTACTTTTTTATATATCTACTAAAATTATGTATAAACAATAATTTTTCAGGTGGACTTAACTTTAAGTGATTCGGATGATGACGATACGCCATTGGCTAAGAGACGGCCTGCGTGTAAGATCAATACTTCATCTGCAACTTCATCCACCGTGTCCACATCAAATATAAACGGTAATTCAGCAATAGCGGGTCAGCATCGTGGCGTGTATGTGCAGCAGAAAACTGGTACGTTGGATGCATTTTCGTACTAAATTAAAAAATTAAGACAGATAATGCCATTAAACAAAAAACAAAGCAGAAGAAGACAACAATACATTCTATGTTGTGCTACAAACATGTTAGCTCTGTTTTTCACACATGTCTGTCGGCTATTCTCTTTTTTCCCCATTTCAATTCTGAATCGTTTTCTTTTCAATTTAATTGTTTTATAAAGGAATTCTCTTTTTTTTATGTTGAATTAAGATGGACTAAAAAGTTCTATTCATTTAACTACTGTGCATCATGAAATACTTGAAATTTTGCCCTTAGATTATTATCAAATTTTCGTTCTATTTCTTTATTAGTTTGCCCTGTAAAAAGTTTTCAAATAATTTTAAATCATTTTAGAAAATGTAGTTTTTAATTTCATTTATTTTAAAATTTTTTTTTTAAGTTTAAAAACATTAAAATATTTTCTCAATTTTTCTCAAATCAAAATTCATTGTTTTAAAACTAAAACTGAGAAAGCAAAAAAAAAAAGAAAATATTCGGCACAATAATCAGCCATATTTCTCAAAAAAACAAAACAAAAGAATCGTGTTAACAAAAGTTTCGCCAACTACCTCAAACTCTCAAAATGACAGAAAAGAGTCTGAACATATTAGCGGGCTATCAGCGAGTAATCGAATCGATGGTTGTTGTTAGTGTGGGTACATTAATGCATTTAAATTCGATAAGCATTATTGAGTTGCGTCACTCAAAGCTACCTCTACTTACACCTAATGCCGCCTCGACGCTGTTTGCATTTTCAATTCTCTGCATCTTTGCCCACTTACGTCCACTTTGGACGCGTCCGATGAGAAATCCCCAACAGATTTTCAGTTTCTTTATGGAGGTGACTTTGATATTATATGGGACAGACTTCCTGGTGCGTCAATTATGGCTGCCTAGCTTGAAACTTTTAAGCTTACTTTGCAATCTCTTAACCCATTATACCGTAAAGTTCAATAAGAAGTTCCTAACGCACCAAGCCCCATTTATTGATGATTGGATGCGAGCCGAAGCTTTTTATTTGATTCGTTTCATATGGGCCCTTGTTGCCTTCATTTTTATGCTCGATACCACCGGGGTTATTGAGATGTTGCAAACAAATCTCAATAAAAAGAAAATCAAATGGTGTATTAGCGATGATACCAATTTCGATGAAAATTTGGGTGCCGGAGAGACTCCATTAGCAGAAAATTTGTCGAAAGATGATATTTCTAGTCAAAATTCCGATGGAGAGGACGCTGGCACAAATTCCGCTCCTTTCGATTTGAACGATTTACCGTATGTAGCGCAAGAAGATCTCGCAAGCAGTGCTCATGCTGCTGCAGGAGTCCGACGGCGTCGTAGAATGTCTCGTAAGACAAAACGCAATAATAAAGTTAGTTTAAATAATACGGTTAAAGAATACTTTTGTTAAAAGCTTTCCAAATGCTAGTGAATAAAATATGTGAAAAAACTGATGAATAAATGAAGCAATACACATGTTGTTAATAATAATCCGAATGTCTTCTGGTCAACTGCCTGCCTTCGCTTTGAACATTTTCTTGGCGTTCTGCCTTCATAATAAATTAGCAATTGAAGTAAATCCGTTTGAACTTACTCTCCTATAGAATAAAAACTAAGCAGATTCGTTAATGAAATATGTTAAAGCATCGGCTTTAAAGTGAAGGAATCTCATCTAGTTTCGTGATAAGTATTTGTCATGAACGGTATGGAAAGCTATTTCTATTTATGTTCTTAAATTTTAATGCACGGGTTAAATTTGTCTCTTCAAAAAAGCAGGCCTTTAAAACATCATTCGTGCGCCAAACCTTCAAATTTATATATATGTATATACACATACATACAAATATCGTTGTATATTACACAAAAAACATTAGTCCCTAAACTCGAATCAGCTTGGCTTGCAAAATGGCTGCTTGAATTTCTCTAACTGATGCGTCCTCGCCTGGTTGATTTCACATTCGTCTAATTTCATGATATTTGAAGTATATATTGCTGAAATTTTCAGAGCTTTAACTGTTTTGAACACAGTTGTTTGTCTGCGGACCAATGTAATAATTAGTAAATAGGGAATGGAAATTATCTTGCCGACTGATCAAACTTAATCAGCTGTAACGCATAATATTTTTAATGCAGAGCACAATCACTTATGCTAGAAGAATATAGTAAGGATTTGATTAAGCAAAATGTTATTTTGGAGTGACCAAAATAGTCGTTGAGGGCCGGTTCAACATGCAGTCCTTTTTTAAAACCAATTTATCTGATGTTGAATTCATGCAAACTTTTCATTTCGTATTCATATAAACATTCACCATCGCTTTTGGGAGGCGTCGCCGATTTCAATAATTTTGAATATATTGTACTTGTATTGTAGTTATGAGAGAAAAGATATACGGATATCTACGTTGCCGCATGTACTGTTGTAAATTGTTATTGTTATACGACTGAACAGCATCTACATCGCCTAACAATTATTAATTTTTAAATTGTAATAGCTTAAACAAAAAAATATATCTTGTCGCACAAAATGCATTTTGGCATGTACGGAAAACGATACACGTTGCAGAAAACGGGGTTAAGGTTTAAGACAAGCAGTTTGTATTCACACGGTCATTTCTACTTTGATGCGGCGCACTATCTGTTATTGCCTTGCTCGTTGAAAAAAAAGCTTCTTGGAGCACTTAACCCACATTTCATTCTTTAATAGGTAAGAAGAGTTATTCATTTAAACATAGTAATAAGTAAGAAAGCTATATATAATCGCGTGGGGTCGAGTTTGGCATACCCACCCCCATTAAAATCTTTATTGCCACATGCTTTTGTTTATGGTTATTAGAAATTGAATGTAATAAAATTTATCTTCCATCTTTTAGTTAGTAGAAAGCGCAGACTTTCTTTCTTGATATGAAGTCGGATGTAATTAGCGATGCTCAAACGAAGTTCTCCATGCGAATAATTTTTTCCACTTTTTCTATAATATTCAGGAAATATAAAAATTCTAGAGCAGCGCGTAAGTTTACCCTTTGAATACTCCAGGACGTATATTCGTGAATCGCTTTCCTATTAAAAAGACTTCTGATATTTCAAAAATACTATAACTTGTGGTCTATATTAGCATAGCAGTTTAGCTTAGTTTATTTTAGTTTCGATTCGGAAAGGCAATAGGGGGCAAGTAGATGCAAAAGAGAGCATAGAATTCTTGGCTTAAATCTTTGCGAATTATAATTTAATTAATGTATTATTATTATTATTATAAACTTAGCCAGAGAATAAATTCTAAGACTAAAGTCTTAAAGCACTAGCATCTAAGGCTTTCGCCTTTATTAAAAACTCTACCGCACTTGAGATTTGAACCCACGATCATTGAGTTGGTAGTCGAGACTCTTGCCTACTCGGCCACTCAGGCGGATTAATTTAATTAATGTAATTTTATCAACTTAGTCCACACAAGTGGCTAGCAAGTATTTATCAAAAATCATTAACATTGTAAAAAAGGAAGGAATTGTTCTTAGAATCTTCGGAAGACTATCAACCATACTAATGACAGCTACACGATCGCGACGTTGAGTCAGTTGATGATGACCTAAAACTTGGAAGTGTAGAGGAGTGTTTTCAACAGAGGATTTCACATACATACTAGTGCTAATGAAACAGCCGGCATTTCTTCTTAAACCAGAACGTTTCGAATATTTTGCTTTCGGCGTGATATCAACCAAGGCAATGCACGGTCGTCGCTAAATACTAGCTTCTTAGTGTCGCGTTTCCTGATCGTTTCTTATATTGTTCGCGGTAAGTAGGTGTGGAACTTGCTCATCAGTCACAGTTCCGAAATTTGCAATTAAGGGACAATCGTTGCGGGCCATAACAGTTACGTTCGCAACTTGCTTAATTAAACCTTGTACGACTTCAGGGGCACCAAAAGTGAGACCAGAGTAGTACAAAATTTTCCTTCCTATCCATCTCCCTTGCACATACATATATTGTGAGCCGTCTTATCCGCAAGCATCCATCATATGTAAGAGACATGTCATTCGAAAGCGTAATAATTTTCCTATCTCCTCTGACGTTGAGCGGTGGTCGTTTCCACATTTAATCAGGTCTCAATCGTCCTAAAATCCTGAGGTTATGACGATACCGTAAAACATCAATTTTCATATCAAATGACTTTGAAACTATAACACGATCATAAGATAGTTTAAAACAATTTATTTTTTCTACCCGTAGGTCATTTTTTGTACCCGAGTTTTAAGAATAACAATGTAGTGAACAAAAAAAAAAAAAAAGAAATCGCGAAAAGCAAAGTAATTAACTTTTCTTAATCTTTTTCTTTTTTTTTTTTTTTGTATGTATGTCTTTTCTTTATTCCTTTTTCATTTTTCTTTCTTTTTATTTTGTATATATGTGTGCATATTTTTTTAAAAATTCTTATACAAACTTGTAAATTTATAAGAGATGCCCACGTCATCGCAGGATTCATATCAAATTTTGGTGAATTTGGGTAAAAACGATTCTATGACTAAAAGTACATTAGCAACGACGCCTTCATCGTCAGATTTAATATCGACAACCACGACGACTTTGTCGAATGGCATCCTGATTAGTAACAATAACAACGGTTATAACAATAACAACAATAACAATAAAAGCCTTAAAGATAATGTTGTTGCCGATAATAAGTAGAAATGCTTTAAAAAAAAATGCTTAAGGACTTAATTTATATTTTTACTTTGTATACCTCCGTTATGATGAAAGCAAATGTTTTAATTTTGTTTGACAAACTTTTCAAGATACAGATAATTTTTTTAGTTAATTTAATTCACAACACTTTTATTGTTTCCTTTTGAAAAGAATGTAAAACAAAATGGAGAATTCAGTTTAGAAAGTTTGCTTATATCTGGATCTCGATCCTGCGCTAGTATCGCAGTAATAATAAATATATATATCATATTACTTCCCGTTCCAACTAATTCCCTTCTAAGTTATCCTACAAACGATTTAAGTTGTTTGCCCGCTCGTCGTATTGGCTGCAGCACTCAGTATTGAGCTTTTCAATAGTTTCAATAGCCTTATCTCTCAGTGTATATGTCGATTCGCCAGTTGAAATTCTCTCAGCCGCGGAAAATCCGAGCTTTGAACCTACGAATTATTCGCAGTTGTTCTGTAAGTTAAAGTTGAACCTTTGTAGGGTTTTATACATTAAGAGAAAGCAGAGCTTTTGAGGCAATAGTTTAATACGTACTTTCCCACACGTACCGTATTACTTACACGCTAAATTGCATTTTTACACCGAGCTAATATTTTTAAATTAATATATTGCAATGTGAAAGTTAATTGTTATTATCAATGTATTATGCGACGTAATGGGGCTTTGGGAGGTGTACCGATAACGGTACAAGTATATAAATTTTCGTTACCATAAAAGAATCCATTTATCGTCAACCAGTAAATTTCCCAGGCGTGGAAATGGCATCTACTAAAAGGTAGCTAGTTTAGCAGAGAACGTGTGTAAGGCATTGTTTCAAATTTCTCGGACACTTTATGATTTCTCTCGCTGACGCAAAAGATTTTTCCGACGTGGAAACGCCATTTACTCATAGGCAGCTTAGCAGAGACTGCGTGTTAAACAGCGTACCACGCGGTTGAAATTTTTTGAACCGAGAAAGGAAACAAAATAATTTTTTTTCTTTTGTTCTTCTTCTTCTTATTTTTGTTCTCGTATAATGTACACGCTTTCTGCTTGGTTATATCGCTTATTCAATTTTTGTTTCTTCAACTATGCAAACCAATTACATTGAAAATTCAAAAGTTTTCTGAAATGCAATTTTGAGCGACTGCTTGCTGTCGGCCTTCTCAACTTATTGGTTGCCGCACACGTACGCGATTTCACATACGTTTATTAAAAACGTTTTCTTACTTTGCTATGAATTCATAAATTTTGCTCAAGGCTATTATTTTTCTAAAGTATAAATCCATTGAAAGTTTATGTATTTACAAAGTTACTTTCTTCTTAGATTTTAAGACAAAAAAAAAGCAAGAATAAATACCGCTATATACATTTTCTTATGCACTTGTGTATGGTGTGCTCGTATTGAGAATTTATAAGTATTCACATGAATAAATTTATTTTATTTTACTTTAAATTTTAAGCCTATTACATTTTATATTAAAAATATTATTAAATTTTAAGCTGATACCTCTTGTATATATGCATATATACTTGTTTTCCATTCACTACATGAATCTACATTTATTTTTATACTCACCACACTGAGACATGAAAGGTATATTAGGATTTTTATTTTCTTTGTAGTAATAATAGGTAGAAGTAATATAGTTATAGTCCCCAGGAACAAGCATCATCAAGCAACCTCAACAGTCTGTCCTTCTCGTCTCGTCTCGAAAAATTCTACAAAAAAAAAATATATTTTGGCATATAGAGCTCTCCCTTGATGGCTGCCACAGCTACATGTCAGTTTTGAAAGTTGGCACCTGCAGCAATCAATCCATAGCGCAAAGTAATAGAAATCTAAGATCATTCAAAACTATAAGCGATTTTTTGCCTACTTCATCGTATAAAACTTCCCGACCACAGACATAGGACTTATTTCCCCCGCGACCTGGTTAATGAAACCTCATCTCTCATAGAAAACACTCGAATAATGTGAAGACATTAATATCTAATGTCTCCAACTATTCCACATAGTAGTACTGCTGCGGATAATGCTGCAGTTGTGTCAGTGCGTTTTATGTTGCTATGTACAGTTTTTATGTATAGGTAATGATTATTTAACCCAAGGGACCGCAGTTTTCAGTTCCAGCGATGGTGAAGGATGTGAAGTGATTAATTTTAAAGTATTTTTTTTTTCTTATGTTTAAAAACTGTAAAGAAACTATTTCACTATCTTATGAGCAAATAATTATTTTTTTATTTTACTTTTATTTTTTTTATTTTCTAATTTTTCTCTTTTTCTTTTTCGGTTCACACTGTTTTTTTATTTTAAAACCTAGCTATAAAATAAGTACCAAATAAATCACTTCGCCACAGTTAAAACAAATGAAAAAGAAAAAAAAAAAAGAAATGAAAACGAAATGCACAGCAACAACTTTAAAAATAAGGCATTAAAATATGATGAACGAAAAAATATTAAAACAGCAAAATATACCCATTAGAAAGAGAGAGAGAGAGAGAGAGAAAACGCATACCATGTAAAGAATAAAACAAAACTTAATCAAACCTTCTTGCAAAGCCTTTTTGTTTATTTTTATTAATAATTTCAACTGCTGGAGCAAAAATAAAACAAAAATGATGTATAAAAATTTCATGAATTCTTTTAAGTTTAAAACGCAAAAATTTCGAATGTGAAAAAAACCAGTAAATACTTATCGTAAAATAATTAAGAAATTTCTATATATTGAAATACAAAAAAAAAAAAAGTCTATAATTAATAGAATTAATTTAAAATACCATGTATTTAAAAAAAAAAAAAAAAATGTAAAAAAAACAAAACCGAAAAAAACAACGTTGTTTCATTTATGTTTGTCAAGCAAGAACCGAACGGATTTCTTGTAATAAATTGTTTGTTTTTTAAAGGTAATGAAATGGTTTCTTACAGTTTCAAATTTTTAAAATTTTCTTGTTTCATTATAATTATTTTAATCATGTTTCAAATGTTTACGTTCTATTATATAAATTATTTTCAGATGCTGATCTAACAATTATCTGTTTAGATTCACCCTCGCCGCCCTCAACTCCAGTTCGATCTCCCAAAATAGGTAATATGCGTACAAGTTTATAAATATACATATGTATATATATATATATATTTTGTTTTTGTGTTTTCACCCACCACCAGAGCGCACATCATTTACAAAAAGCCAGATAATTGAGACCACGTAAAGTAGGTCGAACGATCGCGAAGATTAGTTTGAACAAGTAAAAGAAAAGAAAAGCAAATAACAAAATTATATTCGCTCGTGATGAGATCTTTTATACACGTTACCGACTAAAAAAAAAAAAAAAACTAAATCTTCATACTCTGTAATACTGAGTGAACGGGGCTGACTTTTTTGCATTTTGAGAATAAAAGCGAAAATTTATATGATGTATGTATTGCACCCCATGAGTAAGAAGTAACCCTATAAGTAAGAAGTAAAAACACATAAAATAAAGGTGTTCACAGTTTTTGTTGTCTAGGGGAGTGTGGGCATAGTAGGCGGGTCCTTTGGTCAGTTTCCGTCATTTTGAAATTCTTTTGCAAATTCGTAGGCGATCGGTAAGCATGCGAAGCTTCCGGCCATTAAAAGAATTAGAAACTTTTGCATACGTGCCATTGACATAGAAAATGACTATAAACACATTTTAATAAATGGGAAATTTTCACTCGCAAATAAAAAAAAAATGCAAATATGAAATGCTTTACAGTCGGGCAAGGTCTACAACAAATCGGTTTATGCAATTCTTCCTTCCCTTATTTTCACTATAAAATACCACACCAAAAATTATATCTCGTTTTCATGTGAAGGTATACTTTTTTGGTACTTTTTTAAGGGAGGAGTGACGCTGTAACGTGACTAGGCACGAGTCAAATTTAACAAAATTAATTTTATTTTCAAAGATTTCAATTCAGTTGTTCTCATCATGTAGTTCTAAAAAACAGCAGTGGTAGTTGCGATTTAAAGGCTTATTTTATTGAAGGGGACCTTTGTATGAAGAAAATAATTTTTCGATGTCAAAATTCGGAGGTATTATGGGCCTAGTTGTTTTTCCCATATAAAGGCTTACTTTCTCAGAAGATTGGAGTACATAGAGTGAGGTACGCAAAAACCGATCTGACCGGCTCAAATTTTTCACATCAGTTTGAAATCTCGAAATAGTATTACTTAGCACTATTTGTGCAAAAATACGGCGAATGCAAATTTCATGTTCAGCCAAAAAATGCTTGCGGTCGATTTACTAACACTTCTACAAGTAACAATAAGAGATCGGGAAGATTTGTGTTGCGAACATGTAGTTAGTTCTGGCGAATATCTGGGTAGCAACGTTTCGGAAACATATACTCCGAGTCGTAAGTGCTACAATGATAGTGGTGGATACGACTTTCGTGCTCGGCTGAGAATACTAACAAGCCAGCATTCCATTCTTATTGTTCCCTTTGAGAAAATGGGTTATCTTCATCCAATAAAATTAGCATACAAAGTCAGCGTAAAGCGGAAAAGATAAAACTTTAAAAGGCTTAAGTAAAGCTTACGAAAACACTGTCGTCCTAACCATCGGAAGCACCTTAAGGAGTAATATCAATTTGTGATTTCATTTTACATCCTATACCGTATGTATTACAAAGTTATATTAAGTTTGTACGAACGTGCGCCATACTCTTAAGGACTTGAGATGAATCCTTCTTTTATTGTAGAAAGTGAATCAATATAAGCTTGTCTATCTCTTCGTTTTCATCCTCCCTATTTTTGAGGTGTTTTGATGAAATTTCTTACACAGACTTGTTTTGGCCCAAGGACGAACTTTAGTGAAAATGGTTCGGACTTCACATAAAGAATATAAGATTCGTTATATGTATAATTGTACCAAGCAAACTAACGTAGGATCCGTATCCCATAGTAGTGTTTTTACCTGCTTTTTTCTTGCGTTAAATTATTTTTTAAAGAGTCATACATCTTATAAAAAAATGATGCAATATTCCACTAGACTTTATTATATTTTGAAATTATATTAAATTTGTTGTGACCCGTAGTCGATGTCTGTCTGTCCGGTGCAGATTATCGGCCATTATTGTTTAAAAATCCTGGTGCTCGTAAGATTTCTAATGAAAAAATTCTTTTATCTTTGTGTCGTTCACACTTAAAAGAGACATAAATTAGGTAGAGTTGTAAATATGTTCCGCTGCAAGAAGAATCTATTCCTGTTTCTGTTTGGCTATTGCAAGCAACTAAGGTTGTCATATAGTTTACTTAATCTTCAGTTAATCGTCAAAACAGTTTGTGGAGAACGAAAACAGTTATCTGCGATACTTTCGACGCGATCGCGCTAAAGCGGGAGCTGGAAAATGTATATGACGTGACGGTCTAGTAACCGGATCGGACAGCTAGAAATTTGTTTCCTTAAATTACTTCGTCGCTTTAACGAAGGAACAGACTTTTAAACGCCTTTCGGTCTTCACGAGAATCTTTTATATTGCGGTATTGGAGCGAAATTCACGCCAATCAATAAGAGATATAACAGGAAGATGTCACAAAGAATTAAAAGAGTTAAATCAGCAAATTAAAAAAATAACTAAGGTGATATATGACTCGACCTGACAAAATGCTTACAAAAATGCAGGCGATTTGTACGGGATTGACATACCGAGTGAATGATATCATTTCACATAATTCTTTCCCATATTTATTATAACAAAAAAATTTTAACTCTCAACCGACAAGCCTGTTTTTAGTAGAATATATTACAGCTTTAATTAGGGAGGACTACTTACAATCGATCAGAAAAAGAGTTTATCACGTTTTTTCGTCACAACCTAAACATATTTTTCTTACATTTTAAATGACCGACCGTTAGTCAACGAAATAGGTATCATATCGTCACAACAACAATTATGCCATCATTGGCATGCTTTTAGTGCTCTTGGCTGCTTAACTATCGGATTGGATTGCGGATCAGCTTTCTGCTTTGCATTGCCTTGACATCGGAATATTTGAATGTGTTGTAACGCTCCAAAATTCCCAGTATCAGAAAACTTACTTATAGGGCAACTAACTAAAAAAATCGATTTCATTGTCAAGTCCATGTTAAAGAAACAAATATGTCGTCACGCGTTTCAAAACTAGTCAAAATCTCGTAATATCATTCATTCGTTTTGAGGAGATCGTACGGTGTCAAATTGCAATTTTGAATTTTCCCTTACAAGAATTGCACGCCACTCTCAAAATGAAAATGCTAGCGAGTTAATTAAACCGTATGGGGAGTATGGGATGATGAGGAGCAAGTCAAGTGCTTTAGTTTAATAATTTACTTTAATAATTGCAGCTGCTACGACTTTTTGTAAGCAAACAATGCATAATCCATTTGTTACATATTGATAGTACAGTTGTCGCAAATATCAATGTCAGGTGGTGGGTCCAGATAAGATTCGGCTTCGCAACGAATTTAGATGTTAATCTCAATTGTAAACTTTTTTTGCAAATATATTTTTGGATTTTTTCAAACAGATGTGTCGTCGATGAACGATTTCAAAGTTTATCAAAATAAAGACGCGAATAAATTCTTAGAAAATCCTCCATCCTGCGAAAGATGATTCATTTTATTGTCCTGAAATATATACGTGCCAGAGCCAATTTTATATTTTTAATAAAATGTAATGAATTATTACGCATTTGTTTTAAAAGATAATATCAAATATTTTGTATTTCTTTATACAAATTTTTTTGTTTCAAGTTCTTTTCCCCTTTTTCTGCGTATACCAAATGTTTTGATATTCTATTTAATATATAAGTCTTTTTTTGCTTTATTTCTTTTTAAACAAATTCAATTAATTTCCATTGTATTCCATTTACCTTAACACGGTAGCCTAAATTACAATATTATATTAGCTATAGAACATGTCTTAACTTGATATCTTGTCTTCGTTTTATTTTTATCTGTTTACCTGTCATCATTATTATATTGTGATTTTTCCAAATATTGACATTTGATATAAATTTAAAATGTGCACCCTTTGTTCTTAAACTGTATTTCGAACTTCTATTCATTCAAATCTGCAATTGTTATTGCGTTACATATACTACTCTGTCATTAGCTTAAAGTACTGATAAATATTAATTTATGAAAATACACGTTTCTTATTATTTCAAAATAAAGAGAAGTGTTCCTAAAAGCAATTCGTTGAAAGGATATGGCCCATCGTCTCTTTCTTTGGACGCATGTGTATCGTGTTTTTACGAAAATGGCCGCATTTACTTACCAGCAAGACTGTTCTGACATAAGCCCTGAAGCCGAATAACTGGTAGTTCTGAAACATGCATTTAGTGAAGGTAGCCCCAGATTTTATGTCGAAACAAATATGATCTTTGCAGTGGAAAAAACATAAAAGATAAAGAAACGAAAGAAATGTTTTGTTCGACGAGAAGGCGGGGAACGAAGGAAACTAAAACGACATGTGATGCCAACGCGGCGTATACAGTTAATCCCCTTCTTAAACGGCAGACACGTCCCGGAAATATGCATGTAAAAAAAACATTGGCTAAATGGGAAAATAGCAAATTGGTTCCAGGTTCCTAAAAAACCAATTAAAAAGTAGAATAAACAATCGTAAAAATTTCTTGCTAGAGTTCACTTAAGAATTTATTTGGTGTTTACACATTCATTGAGTGTTATTATAAAAAATGAATCATATTTTGAAAAACCACGTGGCAGCAGCAGGAGCCCCAGAAGGAATTCCTTGATTAAATTAAGCTGACGTATATGGTCAGTACCAGGGAATAAGGTGCGGCTGGTGAACAATACAGCCATAATACAACCGACCGACCAAATATCCACTGTTTGATTGTAATGCATCCAGTTAAGCATTATCTCAGGGTATCTGTACCAGCGGGTTGCAACGTATCCCGTCATTTCATTTTCAGCTGGTCGTGCAAGGCCAACAAAATCCAATATACGTTATTCACAATCCTCGTTAACTGCAATATTCGATAGCTCCAAGCCTCTATGAATAATGCCGGCGCTGTGTATATATTTTAGCCCGCATAATATTTGATAAATTAAAAATTGTACATGACGTTAGAAAATTTGTATGTTTTAATAATGTCATTAAGACCGGCATCCATTAGATGCGTCACCAAATAAACTTGCTGAGGGTTCTCTAAATGTATCTACTGGCTATCGTAAATGAAATACATCGAATAAACCAATGTTATTTTCATGATCCATGTGTTTAAGCAGTCTAAGTTCACGATAAGTGCGTTTGGCATGCACAGCCGACTGAAGTGGGGGAGCAAGTTTCTTAATGGCCGCTTTCATGTTTCAAGTACTTTACAAGCTTTACAATTTTGTCCGTACGCGCCGCTGGACACTTGATGTAATTATTGGTAGATATCCGCTATTTTCCATTCCGTCCGATTAATATCCAATTTATAGAACTTTGACATTATTTCCTATGATAATTGAGGGCAATACGATGATGTCAAACCCTTCTTTTTAACAAATTTTATACAATTAAAAAATGAATACCATGAGCAAAGTTGCCATAAGTTGCGACAAAAATACATGGCAGCAGCAGGAGCAGAAGCCCCAGAAGGAGAAATTCACATACAGAATAATGGGGCAAGTATAGCCAGAAGTCGACAAAGTAGAACCAAAGTTTTAAGAAAATAAACTTTTCGGAACTATTGGGCAAATAATGCCTGATTGTAAACTTTTTTTGAAATTAGTCGTTGATTGGCGGGGAAGTTCGGTCGCACTTTACTACCTAATTTTACTTATCAGGTTAAGGCAGGGTTCTGATTATTTAGCGTACCTGCCGTGGGATATAAGACGAATACTCTCGATACCCTTACACTTGGCAATGAAATTCAGAATGAATAAAGAGCAACACATTTTTGCTTGCAAAAGCTTGTGTGACATGTTGCGCCAAAGGCGCTTTGCCAAATTTTAGTCTCAAACAAGATCGTCAATGTAGGTGATAATGATATTTTACGGTCCATGTCGGAGAGTAATCCACATCTAATCACATTGCAGGTGCAAAAGCACACTGCATCCACAGCGAACTACATATCAAATATTCACGTAATATATATCTATCGGTCGATTTTTTCATATCCCAAAAGGTAAATAAAAATAATTAAATAACTTACAATTTATAAAAAATGTCCAAGTGATTGACTTAGCGAAAGAATGCGATCACAGCTTAAATGCGAAAAGGATTCGTACAAGGTAACGCGAATGCTTCAAATGCAGAGAAATATTGCCGTAGGTGGATGTGCTGATGCGTACGCACCATGAGCGGTTGGAAAGGAAAAAGATCTTCTCTTGTTTTGATGAGAAATGTGAGTGGAGTAAGCCAGACCGATATACGGTTTACGCGTTCAGATTGATTACTTACTTTCTTCTTTTCTTGTTTTAATTGATTCAGTCATTATTTATTTATAAATAGATTAAATTATATTTCATTGCTATTTAATATCTTTACACATTTCTTACACGCTTATTTTCTATAAACAAAAACAAAACGAAGTACGTCTTCTTTTCCATAGAAACTATTTTGCTCGGAATTGTTACATACGCATAACAATAATAATAATAAGAAGCAAATAAAATTATTACTCTAATTATTATTAATATACTCATTATTTTTTAATTTCATATATAAGCGGCTTATAAGACAAAAGCGAAATTTTAACCATAACTACGTACTTGCAATTACATATAAACACAAGCTGATTAATATGTGTATCAAAATAAACGACCTAATTAGATAGATATAAGTAAGCATTGGATCAGATATCGAATTTTTCTTTTCTTTTCTTGTCTTTTCTTTTTCATAATTTCATCATTTTAATGGTAGAGGTTTTCAATAAAAACATAATAATAGCAGCGCTTTACTCCATTCCAGCGAATATATATAGTTATGTACAAATTGAATTATTTTTTGTTATCGTAATTTATGGCGCCAGAGACCTGATTAGGGGAAATGAATTAAGAACGGCAATGCATTTTAAAGGAACAAGAAAGCAGTGACTGACTGTCCGTTTTTCAGAAAATCGATCTTTTCCTATTTTATTGGTTTAATGGATGGTCTTAAAGATCCAGAAAGCACGTTCCGTTTTCTCAACTCATTATCCCCGAAAATGTTTTTTCTTGCAATTTCCGGAAGCGATCACCTGCTAACCTGTTGCTAACTCATGTCTTTGAAAACTCTTTACATTCATTTAAAAATAATTCCAAAAAAAATGAATATATTATCGTTGCTTCATGAAGACACAACCACTGAGTGATTGGGAGGCGAAGAGTGATTTGAAAGCTGTCAGTGCTTCTGCGATGAAAAAAAAAAAAAACAGTGTATGAAATGCAAGTTTTCGTACACTGTCTTCGAGAGATTCGGCAAAGCAATCATCGTCGAGGAAAGAGAATGAGTAGTCAAATTCGAAAATGTGAGGGCATTTCCATTGCCCTGGTGTCGCAGCAGACGAATGGAGGGAAGTAAAAAAAAAAAATATTGTGACAGAACAACGTCAAACGAGTTTATGTCGGAAAACAATTTGTGAAAACGGTACGCAGCATAACTCGTTTAAATTTTTCTTTAAAACATCGCGCAACCTGCTCTTGGGCATGGGCCCTTTTCGACAAATTAATTTAATTTAGTTTGATAAAGGAATGTACGTACATTGAAAACATTTTGTTTTTTTTTTTTTTTTTTATTAAAATTTTGACAGATTACACTGTGTGTCGCAGTGTCTGTTGAACTGAAGATGTCTGACAAGAATGATTTTAATTTTGTGGTTAATACATAGATATGCGTCCGATAACCTCGCCATATATTATCATTCTTTTAACTGCCCTTCAATCGAAAATAGAAACTTGTCAAAAAGACCATCTGTGTAGGCTGTTCCGGTGGCTCTGAGCGAACACTGAAATAAATTTTGTGCTGTTTTTTTTTTTCTGAAAACCATCAATTATGCTTTCCTAGGTTTGAAAACAGAAATGGTGAAGTGAACGAATAATTTATCCAAACACGGGCAAATTCTATTTAAGTTGCAGTCGTAAGTTTTTTTCTCCTTATTGAGTGCGAAAATCTAGTCAACGTGGTTTATGGCAGTTGCGCATCAGACAGGATCCGCATTTAGTTTGACTAACAATTTGAAAACTATTTCGATTTGATTTAATTCCAACCTAATCTGCGAAGATTTTCTTTCAAAGAAAATTTCTAAAAGCGAATTTACACTCTTCGATTTAAGATAAAGGTTTTGTAAAAAGCATTCCTTTATCCTTAAAAAAAAAAAAAAGAAAAAAAAAAGTCGGGGAGCGGCCATAACTTTCCGTGCACTGAAAACCTACAAAATGATCGATTTTTCTTTATTACATGATAAAATAATGTTTCAGGTCTTGGCGCAAGAAAACCGAAGTCGCTCGCCCATCTCCATCTCTGGGACGTTATATCCTCGAACATTTTTTTAAATTTAAAAAACACATTACATCACATCACATCACGCACCTATGTAACTGCATACAATAAAGAAATCTTCAATCAAACGTCGTCCAATTTTTCATACCATTTGTGATAGTTAAGCAACCATTTCTGGAATTCGTATTGGCAAGACTTATTTTTTGACTTGGAACCATACTCATTGTGCCAGTAGCAGTGCTGATGGTATTAATGGTATTTGTTGTGGTACTCGGGTAATTTGTTGTCAACGTAAACTGATCGAGTCCATACTTACGTAAAAGTTCGAAATCATCATCAGGCGGTGGCATTGGCGGCGGTACACTCTTCGGTAACGGAGGCGGTGTATCACTAAGCAATGGCAATTGTTGTTGTTGTTGTTGTCGTTGCTGCTGCTGCTGCTGCTGGTGAAGATAACGTTGTTGCACAACGTTTGATTTTGTCAAATGATGCTGTGGAGTGAAACATGTATGATTATGACTAATATTGCCGCTGCTTACTGTTGTTGTGCTCATATTTTTTGATGTTGGACCTAAGGCGGGGGATTTGTTCTTTAGTGCTTGGCTGGTGTTTAAAGCAGTAGTGGTAGTAGTAGTAGCAGTAGTAGAAGTAGTAGTAGGCAAGGGACGGGCATTTTGATTTAGAGGATCAAAGTCCTCTAAATCGAAACTGGTATTACTGCTGTCGTCCAAAGATATAAGATCCTTTATGGATTCCTCTTCGGAAGCAGTATTACCAAGCTCTCCGGTGTTTATTTGCATATGATGAGGCTATTAAACGAAAACAAACCAAATGAGATTTAAGTTTAAAATCAATTTTTTTTTTTTTTTCGATTTTTATTTGTTTTTTATCTTTAGGTTAAAATAGGACTTAGCGCAAATAATGCAATTAGAATAGGAACAACACTACTGGAAACTACTCTTATTGTGAGATGAAAACAATGTTAGTAAACAATGAATATTTATCTTAAGAAATCACCAAAAAGGTGAAAGCATTCCGTTTAGTATTGTTGTTATCAGAGTCTCTACCGGTTGTTATATTGCTAGTCTGCGGTTCAAAATTAAAAGGATTGATTGATTTGTTGGTGATTTTGCTAGCTAATGAGGATGATAAAGGTGATAATTTTCTTCTTTTTTTTTTTTTTTTTTTTTTTAACAATGTTTTCGTATACCTCTTTGTCTTTCTTAAAACGTGGAGCTGGCACTGGAGGCTCAGTGCTTTGTGGCGGCGAAGATGATTGGTGCAGTGAGAAACAGGATGATGAAGCAGCGGTTACAAATGAAGCACTAGAACCTGATGATAACGAACTAAAATTGTTAGATGATGATGACGAACGTAGAGTATCATAGCTTAGCAACTGCGCATCATTGTAATCTTGCCAGCAATTGCGTTCTAAACGATGTAAACCCGCTGACACAGCAGCTGCTGTAGCAGCTACAGCATTACTAAACGCTAAAACGGTTGCAGCACCGGTACCTCCACCGATGCAAGCAATTCCGTTGGGACACAGTGGTTGGCTCTGCCGTCTAGGGGGTACTGGCGGCGACTGAACATCTGGTGGCCTATCGTAAACTGAATCGGTGGTGTAAACAACGATTTGTTTTGGAGCCGCTGGGCATTTACCAGTATCTTCCTGTAACGGCATCGCTTGAAAACCTTGTAAAAATGTTGTTTGACTATTTAATGCTACTGGCAGCGATTTTTTGCTGTTCCCGGCCAACATTTTATGACCACCATTGCTGCTGCTGTATGGATGATTGTAATAAGTAGGAGTATTTGCGATTGCCATTGAAAGCTGATTCTGTTCTTGGTACTGCTGAAGTAAATGAGGTGCGGGTGGTGGAGGACGCGCCGGCGGTTGGCCACCAGTACGTGACGCTGTTATGCGATGATTAGGTTCTAGGCTATGGCTTGGCTTAAGCTGGTTGATATGATGGTTTTTTTTTTGTTTTTTTATTTTTTTATTTTAATGGTAGGGAGAGTAATTAAGTGATTGTTGTGTAGGGTATGCGACAGAAACAACCTCATAAATGTATGCAATACAATTATGTAAAGAATACATAAAAGAAAAAAAAAATAGATGTAAAAAGAAAATAAAAATAAAAATCAGACGAATATTTTGCACAGACGCACACATACATAGACAACGATAAAAAGTGTGAAAGAAAAAAATTAATGAGGAATCTGAGAAAATGGAAAAGCGTAACAGTTTAACAGTCAGTAATTGGACATTGAGTTGTTTGCACTATAGCTCGAGAGAGAAAAATAACATAAAAAACAAGTTAAAGCCGCGCTGTTGCGATCATAGAATGTTCATATATCTTATTCAATACATACTAATTAGACAAAATTGTTTTTTTATTATTGAAAGAAAATCGCGTTTAATTCAAGGGAAAATCAATGCAATTTTAAAACTAAAGACGATACACGAGACTAAATCTTAATAAAAATTTTTTAATTCCTTTCAAAATATGCTCTTCTCAAAATAAAATAAAATGATGGATTTTGCAAACAATTTCTATAATAAACAAGAAAATTTTGTAAAGTAGTTGAACTGACTAGACATAAGCGGGCTACCGACCATTCTCTGACACACGGTAAATTGTAGATGCGGATATGACCGTAAGGACTTGGTAGCAACGAATGAATGAAGTTTATCTCAGGACTAGTTTTCCCCACAAAAAAGTAGAAATAGAAGGAAAGCGGAGAAAATGCTGGACGAGGTTGTAAGTCGATACTTTCCGGTAGCGACAATTGTGTCACTCATTAATGCAAAGTCTTGCGAATTTTTCAGATAAAATTCCTTTGCTATTATTGTCTCGGAATAATCACACACCTATTGCATAAGGATTTCCCTCTACAGGCACTAAAAGGTGAAATAGTTTATCGCAATCATATATCAAAAGCAAGCGATTGTCGTACTTTTCTACTCAATACTAAGTCCTGACAGTAGTTGGGAAGCGCGGCAATCAAGTCGAACATATCGGTGTTCAACACACAATGCGGTAAACTATATCTTAACTACGATTGGAGTTGATGAAGCTATAATGAGCGGATCGACCGGCAAAGGCGACCTCAATTCACCAATTAGGCAGGGGGCCACTCTTTCCCTGTTTACCTCTCTTCAACCATTTCTAATCACCACCATATTGTACGTATAAACCGAGTTCCGCTCTGTTGGTACGTACACATATTTATAAATATTCACTTCGCGTTTACGTTTCACAACGTTTACAACACCCCAAATGAAGGTTCAGAGTTGTCTTAAGATATAAGTAGGCAGCAGGTAGGTCAACTCGTGTACGTAATGTATGTGGTAAACGTTACTACCGCGACAAAAACACTAAAATTATTGCGCACGGATTATTACTGGAATCGCTCAAAATCGATCAAAGGATATGCGTGCAATGCACAGAACAATTCTACATAGAGATTTGCATTTGTGCTACGGATTCTGTATAGACTGTGGCATAAACCACTTCAATCAGGGTATAACAAGCGGATAACATCTTTTTGATTCCTCGAGATTTAAATAACGATTACAAAGCAATCGCCCGCACATTGTATGTAATCATGTATTGTAGCAGCAGTAGTTTTATTTTTCATATTTCGAAAATATTTCCGTAATGGCTTCGTCATGATAAGGGAATTTTTTAATTGAAATGAAATAAGAATAAATGATAATTTCTGACCAATCGAATATGGTGCACCGTTTGATTGAGGTTTAAGGATAGACACACTGACGGCTTTACTAAATTAAAATTCTACACATCTCAGGGTATAGTTAAAAAAAATATTGTATTATTTGTATTAGAGAAAAGCTTTACATAGAATACTTACACTTCTATCCACCAGGGGAGTTTTAAATAGCGGATGGTTTTGTAGTTCTTGCGATAGATTCATTTCGGATGAGCATAAAGAGCTTGCGGGACTGATGGCCGGCGATGGTGTCATTTGATTGCTGAGTCTGTGAGGGTTATTGTTAGTTATAGGTAGGGAATGGCCATTCGCTTGAACATGTGAACTGGAACTTGATAAAGCCAATGATGTAGGTCCGCGTCTCAAATATTGATTTGCGCAAATAATGTCATCTTTAGGCGTATATTCAATGCAGCCAGTATGCGCAGCAATTTTGTTACCGGTGCCGGGGCGTTTATTAAATACCGGCGAACTGGGAGCAGAATGTGGTCCCAGGATAGATTTTATGTGATTGCCATCGAGTCGATCGTGTTGGGAATTTGAACTGAGATGAGAACGAAATTGCGAGTTGTGCGGATGCGGTGGCGTTATATCACGAAATTTGGATTTAAGATCTTTATATGCGTGCTTGGCGACCCGGGAACTTTCCTTAACCTAATTCAAAGAAGAATTAGAAAGAATTACGTAATTTTGAGAAATACTTTACGATATTTATTTTTATTGTTACACAAAAGTAGATAGAAAGATAGAAAGAAAGGAAGCAATAGCGTAATACTTATCAACAAATAGAAGGAAAATACAATTACGTAATTGGATATCTTAATTTATTTTCTAAATATGTATAAACAAAATAAAACCACTCACCGATTTAACAGCAGACTTAACAGCAGGATTAGTCTGTAATAATAATAATGGATACAATTTTTTTGTTGGGCGTTGCAAACAATTAGGTGCAATCGTAATATATTATAATTAATAAATGAGCATTTTTTTAATATTTTTTTTATTTATTTATTTATTTATTTTTTTTTTTTTTTTTTGTTTTATGGTTATGAATGGATTGGCAAAGCAAGCGTAAACGGTTAAAACCCATTTATCGATATTTATATAAACACGGTTGACGGTTCATAAGATGGGTAGCGTGTAAACGAGTTGAAATCCGCACACATTTTAGGAAAGGAAGAAAAAACAAAAACAATTTGTTTTTCTTATTCAAATAATTTGCATTTCCAAAAAAAAAAAAAAAAAAAAAAAAAAAAAACACATTTACATATTAAACTATAGATAGAAATAGATTCATGCAAAATAAAGTTAAAGCAGAGATATAACAGTATATTGAAAAGAGAAGAAACCCAAACCCATTTCGACGACTATTAGTGAGGGAGAAAGAAGATATTAAAAACGACTTGAAAGAACCACTTAGAATAAGAAAAACGAAAATACCAACTTTTTGTTTGCTTTTGTGCAGATGGGAACGTTTGAAAAAGTTGAATGCTGTTATCATTATGTTTAGTTATTTTATTTTCTCTCATTTCCTTTCTCAAACGTTTTACAAATTTGAAATTCTGTAAGTAGTTTTCTTAGAAAATATCGTTGCATAATCAAGCCCACCCATATGAAACTGTAAAAAAGTGAAATAAAATGTAGTGAAAAGAAAAAAAAAAAAAAGAATGAAATAGAAAATACAATTAATTATTAATAATAAACTAATTTATTAAAACAGAGAAAAACGAAAAGTTGCTAACAAAAACATACCTATGTTAAATGGTTCAATGATTTGTCTATTAGATTCGCGCGAGTTGAAACACTTCAACTTGGTTTTTTTTTTTTTTTTTTTTGAATAACCGTGTGACACAATAGAAACCCTGTTAAGGAGCAATAAATAAAATATAATCGTACAGTTAAGGCGCCTCCTTTCCCAAAAATGGTTTCTTCTTCGTCCAGGCTGACTTATTTTCCAATAATTTCCCCCAAAAATCTTCAGAAGAGATTCGGCAAAAGAATTCTTGTCTAATTATTCTTATATTTGATTTGATACAGTTAGTCTAATTTTTTAAGTTCTTTCCATATGGTTTTTTAACGGTACACGCGAACGACTTCTTACATGTTTGTGGAGGTTTCAGTATTTACTCAACCGATTAAGGTCGAATTTGTTCCAATATGATCACCAATTCTGCGAAAAATTTTTCTCGATATTTACACATCGGACATTGGATCTTGCATTTCAATACCAAATGCAACCTGTGTATGTATAAGTATGATCTTGATTTTTGACATAAAAGATATAAAATGCAATGAACACAGTAGCGTAGTTTCCTCCAACTTGCCGACGTAGGCCTTGTCAATGAAACGAAAACTACAGTCATAGGTGTGCAGATATGAAATGATTATTTTTGACGTAAAAAAAAAAAAAAAAAAAAAATTAAATTCAGAAAAACGATGGAAGGCGCTTTTTTCAACCTGACTTTTTTTTCATTTTTCAGGCCTTTTGTGAAGACCAGCAAAAATATATTCCTCTTATCGTGAACCATTTTTGATTGGATTGAACCAAGTTACACAGGCATGAGCAGTACGGTTTAGAGCACGACTCGGTTGAGTGCTTTCAAAAAATCGCCATGCTTTTCAAAAAAGTGGGCCTGTGTTGCGTTTTTGTAATATTTTTCTCGTTTTTTGATAAGCTAACCGTCAATCAGCAGCGATTGCCATTAATTATTTGACTAGGCTTTAGCAGCTGACGCACTCAGCCTTCTTGTTTCAGCAAGCTAAAACCATCGCCTTCCTGCCAATGCGATTCGGTCTTGGGACCGATATACATGATATACTCTGGCTATTAAGATTGGCTTTTGGCATTCTTAAAAAATCCAATTCCACACTCACTAACATATATGTGGTGCAAAACCGATATTCTTTAAAGAAAAAAAAAAAAGGCATGAGCCAATGCCACAGAAAAACGTTACTACGCAATCACTTTTCCAATTTATGACTTATGCGCACTTGACACCTGTTGATTGAGCAATAAAATGCCAAAAATCTTTATGGTGCACACTGGTGAGCTCATTTCGTTATCAAATAACCATTTCATGCTTGCAAATCCCGCCTTACTGAAGACACTCAAAACATGTCAAAGCACGTACACTTCTCCTCTAATATAAAGTTCATAGCATTTTTAGAAGCATTAAGCGCCGACTATAAAAATCTTATGTCACATCTTATCATTATCGAAAAATTGAATAAACTTAATAAGAAGTCCATTCAAAGCTTCGTGTTTTCTATTTAATGGATCTGTCCCTTGGACGAACTTAAATGCTATGTTAAGCTCAATTTATTGTTTCCTTAGCTGTTATTCAAATCTTGAACGCATCTGAGGAACATAATAACGATAAAATATTTGACTTGATCCATTCCATCTTAAAAAGGAAAAAAGGAAGTGGACGATTGCCTGCGGCTCACCCTACTTATTAGTCAAAGAAATGAATTTATTTTATTCTTCTTGACATAGAAGTAGAGAAAAGTTTAAATTTGGGAGAAAAAGTCTCGCCATTTTTTTACGGCAAAGTTATCTACTAGCGCGAAAGAATGTGGATAACGAATATAACTGAAAATTAGATTCATTGTTGCTCATTATTTTATTACACGAACGACGCAAATTTTTCAGGTATTGCAAATCTGTGAGTTGCTGCGGACGGTTCTTAAATTTAACCTAATGACAAGGTGTCCACAAATCTATTTACTTTGAGCACCTCGGGGATGTCTTATGCTTGTGCTTACGTATGTTACCAATATTTACATCTATGTGATAGACATAAAAAATATGCGAAAAAATACTAACACCCATTAAGTTAAACTTAAAAATAAAAATTTTTTTTATCAAGCCTTCGCAACCATTAGAAATGAACGATTAACGCAACAACAACGAGCAGGAGATACAAGCCAAAGAATTAAAGCGTGTACAATCCATAAAGTATTAAAAATATTAAAATTTGTTAAAAAAAAAACAACGAAAATTAAAAAAATAAAGGAAAAATAGGAACTTATAACTAAAGTCGCTGTAGAAGTGATAAATAAAGAGTCACAACAAAGAGCGTTACTTAGTTTAGAAAACCCAAACCCAACTATCGAACCATTTGAATCCTTCAAACATTTGTAATGTATATATATATATATATGTTATTTTTATATATATATATATATATAAATACTATTTTTTTATATATGCAAATTATGATTAATATAGGACAACGTACCTTTTCTTTTAATTGATAGAAACGACCACGTTTTTTCAATTTCTCAGCGTAACGAACCGTTTCTTGTTCGAATTCATCGGAAAATCCCAGACCTGTGTTCATCATTTCCAAACGTTCGTCGATGAATTGTTGAAATATCTGCAAATCCATCATTTTGGTAAGGAACGGTCTCAGGTGCGAGGGTCGTGACTCAATGAATTTATCCCGATTGAAGGTTTTGCCCGTTTCACGGAATTCAACGGCATCACGATAACCGCCAATAAGTTGTACTAATACACCCAAAAATATTTTCGAGACCCGATCGCCCATATGCTGATTTGAATGACTGAGATGCTTTTTTAATTGTGAAACTATTTCGGCAGGCATATCTTGAACATCATGAAAAGGGCTATCAAAAATTTTAGTATCACAGTTTAATATAACCACTTCACCCAATTCCTCGGGCATCATCTAAACATATGAAAATTGCGCGATTAGTATATGAAGTCAAAAAACTGACATATTATTATTTGAACATACGGTTTCTAGCACTCTCTGCGGTACTCCAATTAGATAAGGCATGGGAGCACTTAAATAGTCTTTAAGTTTCATAGGTAATACTGGTATGAATATATGTTGCCACACCATAGGATAAAGAAATGCATTGGCTGCCTGAATGCAAGACGATAAACGATCTAAACGTCTCGAAGTAAATATGATACGTCTTTCCGCCAGCATCGCCGCAAATACAGCAATCATATTCTTTGGATCCACGAAATTATAATATAAATTTAGATTATGCTAAAAAGCGAGGTTTAAAAAAACACACTTTTAATCTAAACAATTGAAGAGGGGAGGTATGTGTGCACTTACATTTTCTGGTATACTGGGCAATTGGAATTGTTTAGGCCGCTCGAATACAAATTGCTAAAAGAAGAATTTTTCTGTTTTATTAATAAAGGAACACATAAGCAAATAAGTCAAGAGAAAAAGTACTCACACTTTGTCCACCATTATATATCAATTTCAATTGGCAACCCAAATCGGGAACTCCGCTATTGTATACCTCCGCGAGAAACTGACGAAATTCAGTTTTATTTAATCGCCTCACTTCAGCCAACACCGTCAATAATCTCAGGAAAGTGTCATGCCAAGGCAGGAGTGTTATAATAACCATGGTGGACAGGCTTTTTGGATCATGTCGACAAAATCCAAAACGCCACTTCGAATCATCCGTGGTCAGAACGAACGAGTAAGATTGTACGGATTCACTGTAAGAAAATTTTTCTAATAAAAAATGTACCTTTGCGGAGCCACTCGTTGAATTTTCTTTATAGAAAAAGTCACCCAAATTTCAGTTATATACAAGTATTTAAATGTCATGTTTAAGAACTGGCGCTCCATAGCAAGGGCGAATAAGAGAGCGTAGAGGGGAGAGGGAGAGAGCGAGATAGATAGATAAGTAGATATAGAGAGAGGCAGAAGTAGAAGATTTTTCATTGCCATCACTAATTTCTATCGTATAACCGTAATTTAGAAGTATTTTTTCGCGATCTTTTTTCAAAACCGACGCCCGACGACACATTAACGAAGCTCAGCCACACGAAATGGTCAAGGAGGGTTTGAATAAAAGAGTGTCTATGTACCAGCAAAGCCGTCGAGGCCATTTGCCTGATACGCTGTGCCACGCATGCCACGCATGACCCCATCCTCATGTTAAGAAAAACAAATGTTTTCTATTTAATTCAAATCTTGCGTAAGCTTTTCAACATCCTAGACATACTTTTTTAAAACTTTTTTTCAATATTGTTACGAATATGTCCGCCTCTCAAAAACGTAACTACAATTTTGAAAATTCACTTCATACAACTCATCTAGTGCCAAAGTACTTTTTACTATTCAGATCAATTAATAGATGGTTGCATGTATTTTGATCAGCGAATTCGATGATATTGACCTTTCTCTTTCCATTTAGTATTATTAAGTTATTCTTTTTATACAGGCGCTGATCATGGAACGCTCAAAATTGCATTTTCGACATTCACCACTTTTGTTGTTTGATTCAAATAAATCTGCTGCCGAAGCCCATCAAACACATTTAGAAGCTTATTGTGATGTTGCTCTGTCATAACCCAATCGTCGGTTTTAGTTCCAGCGGTTAAAAAGTGATAAAAATTGACATCCATCCGGCCAGTTCAAACTCCCAAAGAATTTTCGAACAACTTAGCAACCGATGAATCATCTGTTTCTAAGTGTTTACGTGCGATGGAAAGATCGAACGTTTCAACATCGCCGCGGAATTTTCTATGTCGTATTGTGACTGGCGATGAGAGGTGGATCTGATAGGGCAATCCCAAGAGCAAAAAGTCTTTGCTTATGCTGAACCGGAACGTTCACGGCTATAAAGTTCTGCTGTGCATATGGTGGGATCAACATGGTGTACTCTATAACGAGTCGCTAAAACCGAATGAAACTGTTACTGTAGATGTCTCCCGACGTCAATTGAACAAATTGACCAATTGTACCATTGCAAGAAAGACCAACAATAGTGGCTGACAGGTCACACGTTGCAAAAGTTGTCAAGGTTAAACAGTTGCAGCTCGAATAAGAAGTACTGCCGTACCCAGCGTACTCACCAGACTTCTTCTGCTTACTACTTGTTCAGACCGATGACGTATGGCTTGACTGGCAATCGGATTCGAAATGCTAAAGAAGTGCGAAAATGGGCCGATGATTGAGTCGCTGTCATACGAATATCATCTCCTTTCGACACGATGCCGCCAAAGATGGGAAAAAGTCGTAGCAAACGATGGCAAGTATTTCGATTAATATATATAGTACCACTTTTTCTCAGTAATGGCTTTTTCAAGTGAAAAAAGATTATCAAAATATATGCAAGCACTTAATATATTATTCTAGAACATTACCTAAATTGATAATATTTGGCCCGCCCACATTTACCAAATAAACTTAATCCCTCGCAATTGCAGAGTTTCAGCTGTTTATTTAATTAAATCTTTACGTTTGAACATCAAATGGTACCAAAGGTTCTCACCAAAATCGTATGCATAAGCCTAATGGGACATTATAAATGTACTTTCCTTCAATCTGCAAAGGTGAACGCTCGTTTGCAACGAAATGTACAACGCCACTGCATATGTGTAGGCGAAACTAACGCTTTGTACAAAAACTTCACTTTTATGCTCTCCACCATTTGCGATATGGAAACTTCGTATGGATGTATGCAGCATTCAAAAGTATTTCACATAGACTGATCTTTCATTATACCAATTTCGGGTTGCCTGCCCGCTTCCTATCTAAGCGTCCTTACAGTTAATGTACAGGTTGTAGTTGTTTATAAAATTTGTTACGTTGCCGTGTTTTAGCGACAGGAAGTACGCTTCTGAAGTTAGATTAGATCGGATAGTTTTTACGGCTACCTTTTTATATCGTTCAATCAGAACAACAAAAAAAAGTTACATGAAATAATTGCAATTTTTAATACATTTCGACGAAAAGCATAGGAAAGTGGTATTTAGTCGTGGAACAATTTTTTTGATTCCCTTCCATACAAACTCTTCGTTTTCCTTAAAAAAAACCTTTGCATTACAACAAGGTTTAATTTTTAATTTGTTTTTTCCAAATTTTGTTTTAAAAAAGCGAAATTTTGGCGTGTTAAGTTCGGTTCACATAGTTGTGCTTTTGGGGCAATTTTTTTTTGAAAAGTGAGCCTGAAGAATAACAAATTCTTGGAGAAAAGGGTTAGTTTTAAGGAAATTGGACAACGTCGGTTTAAGTTTTGCAGCCTCTCCCATTTAAGTATTTTCGGGAAAATTAATCATTTATATGGTAATGATTGGAGTCTTATGATGAGAAAAGTTGAAAACTTGTATTAGACGAAATGCTGTGGCGTGTTTATCGGGGTCGGCTGTGTTCTATTGCTATAACGTTTTAACTTGTTCTATTTTGCAGCATGCTAATGCAGAGAAGTTACAGAAAAGTGCGATAAACTCGGCACATTTACCATCTCTACTAATTATTTCTTTATTTTTATAAGCCGCTCAAAAATGTATTAAATTTCGGTTGTCTGCAATGTTACGTGAAAATGTACTGGTGGAGGCAAACAATAAAAATAGCGAATTATCAGTTGTTTTTACCCGAACTTAAAGTATTGCAAAAAAAAACACACACAAACACACACAAATCCTGATTTAAAGGAATAAGGCTATCGTTTATGCTCCAACAACTATATGTTTCCGACTAGGAACTATTGCCAACGACCGAGTCAGCAACAGAGGTCTCTATATAACATATCCATTCCACTATCTCCCAATTGCTGGAGGGAGGATACTACTGTTATTGATATTTTTATATAAAAGAGATTTCAAAGTTTCCATAAGAGTTTCAGTTTAATTATTCTAAACATGAAAATGAGAAGAACTATCGCTAAAAATATTTCAATAAATTACCTTCGGTTCCCAGTGAAAAAAGTGTTCGCGATGCACAACAAACAATGGATCCATTAGTTAAGAACGTCAAGCATTGTAAATTGTGACCAATCGAACATAGCAAAACATTCTAGTAGATTGGGGGGAAAGTTCTGTCGTATTTTATTCATGTACTTTGCTTTAACACTCACTAGCCAGATGTTTCTTTTTTATTTATAAGAAAAATTACCTGCCTATTTAAAATACGACAGAACTTTCCCTTCAACCTAATAAAATGGAAATTTCACTTTCAAAAGGGGCAGGCCAATGTTGACAACATAGAAAGTACGATGATCTGTTTCCTTAAAATTCTCCCTTGAAGTGACGGCATTTATAAACGTTGAATGTGTATGTAGAAAACAAATAAGAATGCTATAGTCGGGAATGGTCGACCATTACATACCTTGCACCACTTTGTCTATTTCGGTCATGCATTCATTCATCTTAATAATAATATACCCAGGAATTACACATTACTTTTATGCAACTGCTTAAATTTAATGAAAGCCGCCACATTGGATTGGATTACTCGAAGCTTCAACAAACGTGATTCAAATTTGGCAAGACATCTGACTTACTTGTCAAAAATGTCATTATTTCTCAGTTGCCTTCGTCATAGCAAACCATGACATGGAGTCCCCAAATAGGCCGACGTGAACCAAATTCCGCGTGTTTAATTTTCTAAATACCAATTTTCATCATAAAATGTTAAAAACTTACTTTTTAACATACAAACTTTTCAATGAGTTGGGATCCAAAAAAAGTGCCTCAAAGTGGGTCAAATTCAATTCTTCAAATTATTTCAAATTATTTCAAATTATTCTTATGAACGAACTTTCGTCAAGGGGTATGAAAAACCTGGTCTCTTTTTCAAATATATGTACTATGTTTCAGTCGTAAAGAGTCCCATTCGAACCAAAGCCTTCACATCGATTTAGAGTGCTCAAATACAATTGTGAATCGATTTTTATTGTGGAATTCTAAAAATCACATTACCTACGGGGCGTGGTTGAAAGAGTGGGGCAATCCGAGTAATTTTCTATAGCGATCGCCGTTGGTTGACAAACGTCGGCGTATCATAATTCTGAAGAATTACGGCCTTTAATTTGAATACAAAAAAACGATACGGACATCATTTAGCAGGCGATTTTGAATCGATCAATGCTGCGATAATGCGTAAAAATCTGGCAATTATTGATATGTGGGAAGCTTCATAAAAACGGTTTATAAAAAATCGTTAACATTAAGTATAAGGAATTAAGGATAAGGAAATATAGCAAAACTGGATGTGAATATATATAATACGTTGCTCAAACAAGTCTTTGAATGGTTATAAGCGTAAATATTACATAATTACATTTGGAAGGCGGAGTATGTTATGTATGAGATGCACATAGTTTATTTAAGAAAGAAGAACTGCTGCAATCAAAAGTTAATTCATAATTCCAGTAATTCACACCAAACCAGGCCAAATTAATTATGGCTACATAGAAGACAATCGGCAGCCACTATATGCAGATATAATATACACCCGTCTGATTGGAAATTTATTCTATAAATTGTCTCGCAAGCAGTTTCGTTTGTTTTTCTTCGCGTCAATCAAAAGTTATATCTTAAGCTAGCCTGGTATAAAATTATTGACAAGTATAGTACGAAGACGAATCCAAACAAGTAAAAGCATTACAGCTGTCCGCGGCCCACCATTAGATGCCCTACACTACGATGTGACTATTGACATAATGACTTTTCAAAATAGGGCGTTATATGCGAGGCGGTTGGAAAAG